TCCTCCCAATTTTTGCTGACCAAAAATCTATCAATCCTAGACATTTGCTGCCCATTAGACAAAGTAAAGCTCTCCCCATGAAGCGATAAATCCATCAGTTGATAGTCATCAATAAATGTACAAAAGGCCCGCATTGCACCGTGCATTCGACTGTTCCCCACCTTCTCAATCGGCCTTCTGACCACATTAAAATCACCCCCCACACACCATGGTTCCGACCACCGGAACGCAACCATTTCTAGCTCTGATAAGAACTCAGCCCCGTTGTTCGACATGACGAACCGGTCCATATACTCCTGTAAACACCCACCGAAAACTATCTGCCACACACCCAAACAAGCAAGAAACCAAGAAACCCCCTAACTCCTCTCCCTCCCTTACTACGATCCTGTTGTCCCAACAGAGCACAATCCTTCCTGCTGTGTACCACTGCAGGCAAAGAAATCCATTCCACAAAACGACCACCCCAAATTTGTCGCACCACCTCATCCTCCATTGTCTCCATTTTTGTTTCTGTTAAACATACCACGTCTGCTCTAGCATTCCACACCACTACTCTGACAACCATCTTCTTATCCCTATAGTTCAACCCTTGCACATTCCGTGACAAAATTTTTAATCTCATTTCAACAAAAGGGCCCTCCACCCCCCGGTGGCTTATGGACCTCTCGCCTTGTCATCCTCTCTTCATGGTCATAATTAATTGAACAATGTAGATTTCTAGGCTCACGAGCACCTTTCCGGCCTGCTGCTGTGGACAATTTTCCGCCCGTTCCAAAACTAGAACTCTTTGGCCTCCGTGATGCCTCTACCGTTGAAAACAGTCGCATTTGTCTCTGCCTCATGTCCTTTAAAAGACACTCCTAACAAGCGGCTAACCTCACTAATCCTTTCCAGTACCCATTCAGACACAACAGTGTCAGAAGGAATCTCATTCTTACCAAACCCAGTATGATAGCCTAAAGCTGAGTTTGAATCGTCTCGCCACAGCCCTTCCTCACTCCACATGGCCAAGGGCTAGACCACCAGGGATAGTTCTTTCCCGACGTAATCATCCACAGTCTCCATTCGATCGACCCACGAAGTCACAACTATCGGCGACTCTTCCCTATATCGACCCTCATTGTCGTGAGATCGGGGCAGAATAGCCCCTACCTCGAGACGGCTGACCTCGGCCACCTTCTTCGACACCTGCCGAGGTTCAAAATCCTCACCACCATCAACCAAATATTGATCCGATGTCGACAGGTCGCCCGTCGTTTCAGTCGTAGCTCCCGTAGAGGCTAAAACCTGACCCGCTTGACAAAGACCCAAACCCTGATAAAGGGTATCAAAAATCTTGGCCACTGGAGTCGTCTGTCCATTAGATTGGACCATATGGACCACGAGGCAAGCCCAGGACTGCCTTCCCTTTATGGCCCAAGAGCTCTTTCATTTGAAAATGGCCCACTGTCTCCACACTGGGCACAAATCCACTGCCAGAAGCCCTCCTAGAGCCAACATCCTCTGTAGATTTATTTTTAGGCCCAAGCCTATTAAATGAACCCCGACCCAGGCCCTCTCGTTGCCCTTTTTGCTTACAGATCGTTGAACATAATTATGGCCCAACAAACTGAGTAATTTCCATAATCTTTCGGCCCAAACTAGGCCCAGCCCCCTGACCTCACTTCTTTGGTAACCAAATCTGAGATGATCTGGCCCTAACTGTATTATTCTGCAATTACGTCATCTGTCATCCTCACCCAAAATCACTAGGCAAATAAATCCATTCCACAAAACGACCACCCCAAATTTGTCGCACCACCTCATCCTCCATTGTCTCCATTTTTGTTTCTGTTAAACATACCACGTCTGCTCTAGCATTCTGCACCACTACTCTGACAACCATCTTCTTATCCCTATAGTTCAACCCTCGCACATTCCGTGACAAAATTTTTAATCTCATTTCAACAAAAGGGCCCTCTCCCCCCGGTGGCTTACGGACCTCTCGCTTTGTCATCCTCTCTTCATGGTCATAATTAATTGAACAATGTAGATTTCTAAGCTCACAAGCACCTTTCCGGCCTGCTGCTGTCGACAATTTTTTGCCCGTTCCAAAACTAGAACTCTTTAGCCTCCGTGATGCCTCTACCGCTGAAAACAGTCGCATTTGTCTCTGCCACATGTCCTTTAAAAGACACTCCTAACAAGCGGCTAACCTCACTAATCCTTTCCAGTACCCATTCAGACACAACAACGTCAGAAGGAATCTTATTCTCACCAAACCCAGCATGATAGCCTAAAGCTGAGTTTGAACCGTCTCGCCACAGCCCTTCCTCACTCCACATGGCCAAGGGCTAGACCACCAGGGATAGTTCTTTCTCGACGTCATCATCCACAGTCTCCATTCGATCGGCCCACGAAGTCACAACTATTGGCGACTCTTCCCTATATCGACCCTCATTGTCATGAGATCGGGGCAGAATAGCCCCTACCTCGAGACGATTGACCTCGGCCACCTTCTCCGACACCTGTCGAGGTTCAAAATCCTCACCACCATCAACCAAATATTGATCCGATGTCGACAGGTCGCCTGTCGTTTCAGTCTAGCTCCCGTAGAGGCCAAAACCTGACCCGCTTGACAAAGACCCAAACCCTGATAAAGGGTATCAAAAATCTTGGCCACTGGAGTCGTCCGTCCATTAGATTGGACCATATGGACCATGAGACAAGCCTAGGACTGCCTTCCCTTTATGGCCCAAGAGCTCTTTCATTTGAAAATGGCCCACTGTCTCCACACTGGGCACAAATCCACTGCCAGAAGCCCTCCTAGAGCCAACATCCTCTGTAGATTTATTTTTAGGCCCAAGCCTATTAAATGAACCCCGACCCAGGCCCTCTCGTTGCCCTTTTTGCTTACAGATCGTTGAACATAATTATGGCCCAACAAACTGAGTAATTTCCATAATCTTTCGGCCCAAACTAGGCCCAGCCCCCTGACCTCACTTCTTTGGTAACCAAATCTGAGATGATCTGGCCCTAACTGTATTATTCTGCAATTACGTCATCTGTCATCCTCACCCAAAATCACGACAACCAAAGCTCCCTGAATCTCGCGTTTCTAAATTTAGTCGTTGCTGGACATGAATTTTCGGTGAGCCCCACCGTTGCATGGCTGATCCCTCCTCTTACCAGACTGGAAGGACATACCGCCATTGGCCCCATATGACATGAATCTGCGGTGAAACTCCATGCCCCGAATCCTAAACCTTCAAACGAATACAACCCAGCGACTCCATCGTCGTCATCGCATCGTCGGTGGCCAGAAAACCCCTCCATAGATCCCCGATTGCTCAAAACACTTGCTTCCCTCGAAGATGAATTGGAAGGCCCAACACCAGTACCCAAACACTCTGTTGGGGCAAAGAATCGTGCCCCTTAGTGCAAAGTACCTTCGGCGACCACCGTTCAAGCTGTAGGGGTCAACCATCAACCACCCATGCATTATTCAGTATACGAGTGGCATCACCTCTGTTCGAAAAGGTGAACATTACAAACTGGCGTCCAATCTATTTCAGTTGTACCTCTCCCGTGACCCTCTATGCTAGATTTTCCCATGCCGACAACCGGTGAGCCTCCATCCCCTTCTCCCCCAGAGCACCCACTCGCCATACCAAACAAGAATCCAAAAAAGAGACCCACCCTAGTTCGGACCCCTGCTGGACTTCGACCTCTCTACCAACAGACCTCGCCACTGCTATCCTTGCGTCGTCTGGCCAAGCTCTTACGTTACCGGTGTGCTTTGCACTCTCCTTGGACACCCAACCATTCCCCCCCAAAAAACCTTCTACAACCAAGGCAACCCCTTCCCAACTGTCGCCGTAAGATGATTGAGGGATGAAAATATGACGTTGCCGATCCCCCAATTGGACCAAAATCTGAACCTCCTCGCTCTCCTCCCCATGATGAAGCCAACAGGCCACACTTTGTCAACCCCCTGAAACCCGACCCAAGAAAACCCTTTCGGCTGCCCTACTAGACACTCGAAGCAATCGTGTTGCCACCCACTTAATCTCAGCACCAACCAAATCAATAGCCCAACGAAGTCCCTGTCCCCGTTCAATAATCTCAACACGCCTGCGTCCAATGCCATCTTCCTACCCCTCCTCGAACTCAAAAGATCTATCACCATGAAAAATTAGTCGTCAGCGAGAATAATCCTCTGAAACGATCACATCTCAACCAAAAGCACAAGTTTTTTTGAAAACTTGACAAAGTGATTTCACAAAAAGCGTAAGTCAACACAAAAGGCATAAGTTTTCACAAAGAGCGTAAGTGATTTCACAAAAAAATATAAGTCAACACAAAAAGGTGTAAGTTTTTTCAAGAACTAACAACAACACAAAAGGTGTAAGTTTTCACAAAAAGCGTAAGTGATTTTAGAAAAAAGCGTAAGTCAATACAAAAATGCGTAAATTTTTTCAAGAACTGACAACAACACAAAAGGCATAAGTTTTCACAAAGAGAGTAAGTGACTTAAAAAAAAAAAAAACATAAGTCAACACAAAAAAGCATGAGTTTTTTTTTTCAAGAATTGACAACAACACAAAAGGCGTAAGTTTTCACAAATAGGGTAAGTGATTTCACAAAAAAGCATATATTATCCTTGTAAGAAGAAATGTCGATCGGATAACGGATACTATGTATTTGGATCACTTTTTTATAAATCGTTAATTTTCTGACTGTCCATTTTTTTTCCACACAAAAGTGTTATGAATACATAGTATCCATTATCCAATCAACGTGATTATTTACAGAAATAATGTACTCAACAAACCCTAAAATGTGAAAGGTTCTAATTATCGAAAAAATGACACAAAAGTGAGCCCAATGAGCCGAACTAAACAGGACTGTCCTAGATCTGGACTGGAGATAGTTTGGGCTCCCAAAATTTTACCTAAATTAAAATTCCCTCGTAGAATTTTGCCTAAATTTTAGGATTTCCTCTCCTTAAAAAAAAAAGAAACAAAAACTAGCTATAGAGAAAGACAGAGAGTGATGCGTTCGAGAGAGAGAGAGAGAGAGAGAGAGAGCAAAGATGAAGAAGAGAACATAAAGAGAAGATGAAGGGAAGAGTAGTCCTTCGGAGCGATAACCATTGCTTTGCTTGCGATAGCCATTGCTTCGCTCGAGTAGTCCTTCGGATTTACCTCCTTCGCAACTTCGGTTGTATTTGCTTTTCTGTCCGGTCAATAAAGGCCCACGAACGAAGCAAACTGAGCTGTCTCACCTATCTCTCCGACCAGAGTTCTCATATCTCTCCCTCGCACTGCCCAATTTCAGGTACATGTTCAGATATTAGGGTTTTGAGTTCTAATTTGAGGCTTTTCAATTTCAAACTTAAGGTTTAGGGTTTTTCAATTTCACAGGTTTCTCTCTCTTTCTCTGTCGATCTCAGTCTTTCTCTATTGATCTCGGCTGCAAATCATAGGTTTCTCTCTCTCTCTCTCTCTCTCTCGGTCTCTCTATCAATATCGGCCGCAAATCACAGGTTTCTCTCTGTTGATCTCGACCGCAAATCACAAGTCTCTCTCTCTCTCTCTCTCTCTCTAATTCCCCATTTCTGACACTTGTTAGGGTTTTATATGATTTTTTTAGTTTAATTTTGTGTTAATATTTTAAATGGGTTTCGTTGAAGTGGTTTGATTTCTATAAAATTATGGGTTTGATGTCCAAAATGGTGATAGAGAAAAAATTTTGATGTCAAAAATCAAAATCAATGAACAAGCTGATTTATTTTAGTTTAGCAAACAAGAATCATTCAAGATTTGGATCAACGTATTTACCAACTCTTCTCTTGCTTGATGTTACCTGTCATGATTTTGAAACGGTTAATTATCTTCCTCTTTCATCAATTTTGTTATTTGAATTGTTCTGTTCGGTTATGTGTGTTGAATGTTGATTAGGATTGCTAGAATTGATCACCTAAGTTTGTTGATGCTCATGCTCTATTTTTTCTCTTTTATTGCTTCAGATTCATACAATTGATGAAAATCAATTTTCATCTTAGATTTTCTTCTTAAATTTATCATATAGTTTTAATTGAGTAGTGAATATTTTTTGAAGCCTATTACAAAATTTCAGAAAAGTAAAAGATGAGAAATGCCAATTTTCTATTGACCAAAGTTGATCTGTTGAATAAAAGATGTTGCCTTTATTTATGTTTTGGGAAAAAACTTTAAAGTCGGCTCCACCACCCCCTAGTTTTATATAACAGTCTATATTGGAGAATGTGTACAACACTTAGCAAATGGTTGTTACACTTATTTGACACATTTCACTATGATTAATATCTCAAATATGTAGTAGATATCTGAATGAGACATTTTTGTGTGTCTTTGATGGTTATGCCTCTCACTCAATGGCTCATATGCTAATTTCTTGAGCTCAATAGGTGTACGAGAAGAAGTGAAGAAAATTTCTAACATGAACATTGACCTTTTTAAAGCTGTTGGAAATGGCAGTGTTGCCAGTTCAAGTGGCTCTTCTAGCCCTAGACCATATCTTGCAAATGGAGGAAACCTAGATAAATCTTACCATTCTTTGAGCAATGAATTCTCATTCCCATCAGGGGGCATTTCGTTGCCACATTTACATGCGGTAGTTGTACTCAACTTTTTTTTTTGGGTTATTTTCCTGTAGTAATAATAGTTTTCAAAATAAATAATGTATGAGCATCGATATCTTAGATTATGCCATCATTTCGATATTGCTCAAATTAACTTACTTATTGAAAGAAATTTCTAAATTAGCCTGGCCATATTCTGAAACATGCACATAGAATTGTAGGAAAGGTCCAGAAAAATAAAATGAAAGGAAATAAAAAAAGAAAAGATAAGAAAAAGGAGGCAGTTAGGTTCTGTGAGTTGCACCTACTATGCCTATCCTTAACCAAGATCAAGGCACAAGGATTGAAGCAAGGTGCACAATCAGGAACCTACAGATTGCAGACTTTGCCCTGGTACAACCTTTTACTTGACAGACTTAAGACTATCAAAATTACTTTGTTTTGTTTTTAACTAATATGTAAATATGTACTTTATGTCTGTCTACAAGAGATTCCAATACGAACTCAATTAAAGAACAATATTTTTTTGGGCAAGTTACACTAGCAGTCCTTATAGTTTGGGACTCGTGTCACTTTGGTCCCTGACTTTTCAATTGTGATACATTTGACCATGAATTTTAAATCTTGTTTCAAATAAGGACAATTGAATATACCATTGTTCAATATCAAGGGCAAAGTCGTCAATTTGATAAAATATAAATAATCTTTAGTGGGTAGAAATAATTTTTAAAAATTCAAAAATATTTTTTTGACATTTATTTTTGTCAAATTAGTTTATATTTTATCAAGTTGACGGCTTTGCCCTTGAAATTGAGCAATGATATCTTTAATTGTCCTTGTTTGAAATAAGATTCAAAATTCAGGGTCAAATGTATCACACCCCAATTTTTAATTACTCGGAAACATTACTAAAGCCTTTAAATTAGGTCCATTTTTTTTTTTTACAAATATCCATTACCCTTGAGTAATAGAAATACAAGGACACATGTTCTTTCTCTCTCTTAATGAATATTACAATGACAACAATACATGCCAATCTCCTACTGTGTTACAAATAAATAAATACAAATACAAAATCCATTTCCTTTACATCTACTATGAAGTTATACAAAGAGACTCAAGAACTCCATAAATTAAAGTTCAAGTTCCCTAATTTATTTACAGAACAACACTCCTAATTTATCTTTATGGTCACAACTAATTCATTAAGTTCATCATCACCAATTCATAACCCCCTTACCCATTTTTGGTTTCCATTCTTAACAAATAATGTCTATGTACATTTCCTCTTTAAACCAAATTACACATCAATATGCAATTTCACAAATTCATTACAAGTCACAAATAACATCATCAACTCAACACACTTCTCAACACATAGCTAAACACAATCCATCTTTTGCCAACCTACTACGGCGGGACAGCGGACACCCAATCCATAACACTTTTTACCTTTCGCCGGCTACTATACGGCGGGAAATTAACTCCCAAAAAAATATTTTCTCAAAAGCCTTTTTTTTTTTCCAAAAATCATATTTTTCCAAAAATCATTTTTTTCAACTTTTTAAAACCATTCCCCACATTTGCCGGCTACTATACAGTGGAATGTGGGCACCCAAAATATTTTCGAAAACCAACCGTTTTTCCACTTTTGCTGGCTACAATACGACAGGACTGTGTGGACACCCAAAAATCATTTTTCCACTTTCACCGGCTACTATACAGCAGGACTGTGTCGACATGCAAAAATATTTTCCCACATTCGTCCAGTGATAAGCCTAGACAGGGCAATTAGGCACCTTTAATCCAAAATCACCCCCACATTTTCCGGCTACTATACGACGGGACGTGGGCCCCCAAAAGCCTTTTTCTTCAATTTTTAAAACCATCCCCCACATTTACCGGCTATTATATAGACGGTCGTGGGCACCAAAAAACCATTTTTCAACTCCCCGCGCGGGTACCAACACAACACCACCCAACACAACTCAACTCACTCAACACAACCCAACTCACACTCAACACAACCCAACACAACACAACTCAAACTCAACATAACCCAACACAACCCAACTTAACACAACTCACCATGATTCAACACAATTCAACATAGCCAACACACTTCAACATAATCAACACAATTCAACATAATCACCACAATTCAACATGATTCAACTCAACACCACTAAATGTAATTCAACATAATTCAAGGTGAACTCTTAAATTTCCATTTCATCCCAAGGCTAATGTCATCCATATCATTAACAAATCTTTTCTCCCAAATTTCATTTCATATTATAACATGATTTATAATGTCCATAATAAAGGTTCAATCGCTAATTTTTAACATAATTTTCAAACATTTATAAAACTTGTATATATACAATTCAATACCTCAATTTCATGATTCTACTTTCAATTTGGGAAAAATCATTAATTATCATCATGAATCAACTTAGGGTTTTCAAGAAAAATTAAGATTTTCAAGAAAAAACTCAAACTTCTCAAACCATTACTTTTTATTCCAATTTTCCCATTGATTACACACCTAAGGTTCATAATCCATAATCTTAACCCAACAATTGAACCCCAACACTTCAAACCCTAAACCCCTAAATTCCATGACATAACACTATATGCTCAAAATTGTAGATTTTGCATTTATATAATCAAAATACCACAAATCTATCTATTAATGCAAGTATTGAAGGAGAACTAGGACCCCTACCTCGAGAATCAAGCAAAAGAGCAAAGCTCCAAGAAGAATCCTTTACCAATCTGAAATCCAATCGGTTGAAAAGTGAGATTCTCAAGCCTTCTTCACTTCTTGGTGAGAGATCTTGGCCAAAACTTAGAGGAATGGAAGATATTTGGGGTCAAAAACCTAGGGTTTTCGGACCTAGGGTGAGAGGAAGGAGGAAGGAAATGGAAAATGCAAAGAATGATCTAGAAATGTGCCTTTAAACTTGCTGAATTCGCGCAGTCTGCTCGAGCGTCTCTTTTCCTGCTCGAGCGTAACTGCTTCCAGCACAAATTCCAAAACTTCAAACGGGCATAACTCTCTCATTCGGACTCCGTTCTAGGTCGTTCTTGTGTCCAAATTGAAGCCCCGGAAGTAAGATTTCCAATGGCTCTAGCCTCACATCCAAATTCAAAGTCTAGAAAAAGAAATGGGCAAAAAAGTGACGGCTGTTTGTGGGAAAAATTATCCGAATTAAATTCTTGGTTCACTCTTACTTTACCATTATGTTGCTACTTCAATCAATACCCCAAAATAAAATAAGGAGGTTCCAAATACACTAATAAAAATGTCAAGGGCAATCTTACTTTCCACGCTCGAGCGTCACTTTCCATGCTCGAGCGCGCAGACCAACAAAGTCGTCTGCTCGAGCGACCACTCCTACGCTCGAGTAGGAATTCACAAATCTCAGAATTTCAAACCTTCTGCAAAAATACTAAGAACCTCTCAAGTCCATTCGAGCCTCAACTCCCCTGCTCGAGCAGAGGAAAAAAAATCCGGATCGTTACAAAATGTGTCACAATTGAAAAGTTAGGGACCAAAGTGACACAATGCCGTAACTATAGGGATTATTAGTGTAATTCGCCCTTTTTTTTTGTGTAAGTAATCGTCATATAGATGTGTATTTATGTGTGTTTGTGAAACAGAAGTGAGACTACAAGATGGAGATTTTTGCTACAACCATTCATTTATTTTTCAAACTTGGACTATCAAAATTACACTGTTTTGTCTTGCACTAATGTGTCTGTACATACGTCTATTTTTTTGGTGCGATGTAATTATCATATAATTTATTTATGTATGATAAAAAATATACACATTGGTATTTGGTACATTGTTGAAGTTAGTAAAATTCATTTATTTCATTCATTATTACAATTTGCAGGTAACAAGCCACGAGACTAGCCTTATGCAAAGAGGTAGAAGGGTTTATGCTC